GTCGCGGTCGCGCGCGGCGGCCAGCTCGGCCGCGTGGTCCCGCGCCGCGGCGGCGAGCGCTGCCTCGCGGCGCGCGTCGGCCTCGGCCTCGGCGCGCGCGACGTCCCGGTCGCGGTCCGCCGCGAGGCGCCGCTCCAAATCCGCGACCTGTGTGGAAATCAACCGCTGGTTTGGGACGTCCCCGCCAGACTTTGAAAGTTCGAATGCGCGCACATTGAAGTCGGGTTGAAGATTTGAGTTCACCACGGTCCGCGACGCGCGCGTCCGCGTCCGCCTGGCGCCGCGCGAGCTCGTCCTCGAGCTCGCCCTCGTGCGCCGTCGCGCGCCGCGCGGCCGCGCGCCACTCGTCGAGCTCGGACGCGTGCTGCTCCGCGAGCCGCAACCGCGTGTCCTCGAAGCCGCGGAGCGTGTCCTGCAAGTCCCGGTCGTGGGCCGCGTCGCGCGCGGCGAGCTCCTCGGCGTGCGACGCCTTGAGCTCGGCCTCGAGCTCCGCGAGGCGCCGCGCGTGGGCCGCGGCGCCCTCGTCGAGCGACTTCTCGCCGAGGCGCCGGTTCCACCGCGTCCACGCGCGGGCCATCTTCGCCTTGCCGCCGTAGCGCTGCAGCGCGCGGCGGACGATGGCCGCGGACGCCTGCTTGGCCATGACCCGGTGCGTGTAGTCGACGGCCTCGCGGAGCGACTGGACGTGGTCCGCGTCGCGCCGCGCGGCGGACGTCGACACCTCCGCGCGCGTGCGCCAGCGGCCGAAGAGGCGCTGGATGATCTTGAGGGTCCAGCCGTCGACGACGCTCGCGAAGCGCTTCACGGCCGCCGCGCGCCGCTTCTCCCGGTGCGACGCCGGGTTGAGCTCGGGCAGGTTCGTGTTCGTCGACGTCACGGTCACGCCCGCGGCGAGCGCCCAGCGGAGCAGCGCGCGGCCGTAGCAGTCGCGGTTGTAGCGCGACGCGCCGGAGACGAAGACGTGGCGCATCCACGCGACGCGCGCCCTGTCGCCCGTGCGCGCCGCCGCCTGGAGCGAGTAGTCCTGGGCCTCCTCGACGGACCGCTCGACGTCCTCGAGCGCGACCTGGGCAGGAAAAGGGTGCGAAATTCCCAACTTTGGAGGCTCCTATCTCGGTCATTTTCCGCTCGTTTCGGCTGATTTTGGGACGAGCGATCATCCCTCGGAGCGCTCTCGACGCGTGGATGTTTTTTTTCCGGAACGCGCGCGCGCGGAACACTCATGTTGAAGCGAACGTTGAATCACCCTTTTCCTGCCCTCGAGCGCGACGGCGTGTTCGCGCGGATCGCGTC